ACAATTATTCCTTCTAGAAAATAGATAAAACAGAAAGGTATTATTTTTACTTTACATTGGATAAATCCCATTGAATACAAATGGAACTGTACTCCTTTTTATAATTCTTTACTGGGATCCCAAATAATAGGTAATGCCTTTAGGGCAGTGAAATAAAAACAAAAATATGTAGATGTGGATTGCCATAAAATGCCAACTGGATAATTTACTGGTCCTGGACACAATCTTTGAGCAGCAGGAGAAATATGGGCAAAATCAATGTACCTGGTGATTTAGCATCTACCACTACTGCATGGACAATATGGTCTGGTATTAACGTTGAGATTTAGGGGCAAATACACTAGCCCTGATAAGCTATATTGTCAACATATTCTATAGAATAGTACAAAGTGGGTGGAATAATAATTGAAAGTATTTCCACCTCAACATACATCAAAATAATGCTAAAAAGTTTTTGTTTGTTTTTGAGGCCTTCTAAATGAAAAAAAAAATAGATAATACCTCATAGGTTTGCTGGCACAACAATGAAACCAAATCTTTGAGTTTTGTTCTATAACTTTAATTCTATTGTAATTGATATTGTTGTTTTACCTACAGACCCCTTTTCATGAGTGTTTTTATATTTTTGCATGTTTCTGTATATTCAAAAATAAGGCGTTAGATTACAAGATACCCTATTGGTGTATTTATGGCAATATTTCCTTACAACCAAGTATTAACTGTGAGGACAATCTAAATTTCTAGTATGAGCCAGAGCTATAGGCCATCTTTATTTAACTCTATATTACCTGATGTTCCTTTCTTATTACAAAATGTCAAACTTTTTTGAGTTTATAATAATAAACCCAATGCTTTTCAAATGCTATTCAAGCTACTTTTTATGGGAAGTAAAAGACAACAGTGACAATTTTCCTCATAGTTGTGTAACTATTAGTGGAGAAAGGGCTGCCATTGTGCTCTGTTTTGAGTTCTTTATCTAGTGATTTGACAGGAACTTGGCACTGATTGTTCTTTCTTTCCCTCTCCATGGGTAACAAGTACATCTTCAGCTATGACCCAGTGCCATTAGTCTCTACTAGAGCAGAGCTATGACAGAAAGTGTAAAAAGAGAGACAACACACCACATCACATAATGTTTCTATAGACAGCATATCACCATCAGTGGTTGGTGTCCTAAGAAATATTGTTACATTGAGATTTTCAGACATATTCTTAGACTTACTAGATAATCTTATATATATATATATATATATATATATATATATATATATCAATGTGACAAAATAAAAACAAATACATGAGAAAGCCTATGGGTTGTGCTTACATAGAATTTTTTTAAAATCTCTTTTTAATTTGTGTGGTAAATTACAGTAAAACTTTATGTTAAATTTTTTTATGTATTTTTTATCCTGCATTTTATTTTTTAATCTAAAACAACCTCCACATCTACCTACATATATCCTTGGTAGGGATCATACCACCCAAACTGTTTTGTCATTGAGCAAAAGGTGCTCTTGAAGTTGTGAGGAGATTTTATATATTTTTAAAAAAGTACTATTGTTTGAAACAGTGAGCACTATATCTTGTTTTATTCCTTTCATATGCCGTTTAAATTGCGAACATCAAAAGACGACAGCTCCAGATTTATCCTTGAGCGGAGATTGTACCGCTCAGAGCCCTATCTAAGAGCTGAATAGAAGCTCTAGCCTTGTGATTGTATTTTATCTTAATTTTACCTAAAACAGTGTATGTACTGGATTATACTACTGGTGGTTTAATTTGTGTTTTATTTCATATGAGACACCAACAACAGAATTCTTCATCTGCACTAACGTTTTGTCTACTTAAACACTAAGGAGGATAACAGACTGACCTCCAAAAATCCATGGTTCTTATCTCCAAAAAAATACTTTTTATGCTGGGAGTCTTTACTATTGTTATAGTTCAATTTTTTTTTTTTTTTTTTAAAACCAAAAAAAAAAACTATCCACCACCCCACGAGAGTTCTACAGACTTCCAACTTTTTCCAACTTTTTCAAATGACATTCCTTTTACAGTTGTAATAATTTTTTCTCCCATTTTTCCCATAGGCTCAAATCATCCTTCAAAAGTTTGCAATGATCTTTCTCCATTTTAAGTTGGTAAACCAACTGAATTGTTATTAATTTAATGTTAAAAGGGATATCTCCCTTCCAATTTCTTGCTATTATTATTTTACAAGCCATTAGACAATGAATAATTAAAAATTGATTTATTTTATTCAATTTTGGCCATTTATAATGTAATAACATTACTTCAGGTTTTAAAGGCATTTTAACATCACACAGTGTATGAATGATAATTTGAGCCCACCGCCATATAACAATCACTTGTTTACATGACCACCACATATGAATATAATTTCCCTTTTCCTCCCTGCATTTCCAACATTTAATGTCCCTTGATACATCAAATTTAGCTATTTTTGTTGGCGTCATATACCATTGATTAACCAACTTAAAATGTGTTTCTATCAATGTAAAGGAGTGGACATATTTGTTAATTTTTTGTGCCATAAATAGCCATTCAAATAGTTCAATATTTGTTTTTAATTCAGTGTTCCATTTTTTAATGGCAGTGGGCAGTAGTTCAATTTTTTTATATATAATATTGTGTAATTGTGTGTATATATATATGTGTATAAGATTATGTAGTATTTTTTATTTGGTGCAGTCTTTATTCCCCTGTATTTTTACCTTGTTCCTCTTGGGTTATTAGGGTATTCAAATAACAGACATTATTCTGCTGCCTTTGGAGTTAGCACTGTATCTCCATAGCACAATATAAAATACCTAGAGGCTATTTTAAATTGTAGTTTTTATATTAATTATCTCAAATTCTGTAGGTGTATTTTTTATTTAGTGAGATTATTCTAAGCAAGTCTATACTAAGCCAGGTGTTTTTTTTCAGATATGGCTCATAATATTAGTGTTACATACACAGCCCTGGGTGCTTCTAGTACAGTCTCCATTTAGTAGATGGAAACATAAAGATGCCACAAGTTTATCTGAAATGTAATTTAGATAATTCTGATTTCCAAATATTTTGTCTGTAGTGTTATTTTTGTCACTGTCACTACCTCTGGCATGTTAGTTGGGGAATCTTTTTTTTTTTTTTTTTATAACAGATGACATATGCCCTACAGAAGATCATTGTTACCTTCTTATAAAAAGTCCTTGGAGATTTTGCTTTCATTTGACATGTCAGCTTCAAAAGAATATAAGGCAGAAAACAGCTTTAAGGACAAGAATGGAGATGGCTGAATTTGAAAACTTACCCTCTAGTTTCCTAGTATCTAAAACAGGCTTCGAAAAAGTCATCTCTCTTTCAACAATGCACAGAATAGTAGTTTGCTGTTTTAGAGAAGTATACATATCAAAGGAATCAAGTCTATCATTTTTTGTTCTGCTCAGTCCAAATGCTGCATGCAAGTTTAATTTTATTTTTCTTACTTTACTGTCCAAATTCTCATCTGTTCCCACACTGTCATGTAATTCACTACCATCCTTCTGTTATTTTAATATGAGGTTTTGCTTATTCGTTAAACTTAATGAATCTGCAATTATGCATATTCTCTTTTTTGTCTATCTAATAAAACTATTTAGCTATAGTTTATAATTTATAGAAATATAATTATTTCTCTAAAGCTTTATATGATATTTATACAGATTACTGATTAAGGGTTTTGACAAGAAACTATTTTTGAAGCACTGGAAAAAATATTTACAAGATATTTATTTTACATGCCATGACACGTATACACCCAATTGAGTTTGAAAGAAATTGTCAGAAACATAGATTTTATTTTTGCAACAAGAACAAATGTTGCATGAAGGGTGAAACGAGCAGTTATATAAAACATGCCAGACACCTTGTGTATGATAAAAACAAGTAAATTATTAAGCAAATGACAGTAGATTCAGTAGAGTCTTATGTTGGTCTGCATGACAGAGAAGATATGAAGGAACCTATGCTGTGACATTGTCAGAGAGCAACATGTATGGGTAGAAAAGTTTTACTTTAGAGTCTTCGGCTACGTAGAAAAGGTTTTCTGTTAGATTTGCTTTATAATTATTGAACCAGGAGGTTCTAAGGAAGAATCCCTAGCTGTTAAGCTACGGGAAATAGTAGGTAGGCACCTTCCAAGCTACATGGAATGGTATGTAGGTATATACCCACATAAGACTACTATACAATTAACTATAAATCACAAATAAGAAAACAAATAAGAACTCAAACATACAGGCAGAGGGGAGATCACAGCTATGTGGAACTGCTAGTCCAGCGATCAAGTTAAAATATGTCACCCACTTCCACTAGCTTGCCTGGAGACGAAAGTTTCCACATCCCAGAACTGCATGGGAAAACATCTCAATTCTGCTTTTGAAGGAACCATGAGGTCCAACTGCTGTAGGAACACTGTGTTCTCACATGATGCAGTCTGATTGAAACATATTTTTCTGCAAACACTGAGCAAGGTATGTCCCATCAATAGGTAATGTTAGAGTCACGCAAGGTTTTGGTGGTCACGTAGATGGTCTGTCACCATTTTAGAGAATGGGGTACATTGGCATTATGGCAGGCTTATGCAATGTATGATCATATACTGTAACTAAACCCCCATTATTTATATGTTCAAAAAAATAAAAACAAAATATTACATTCTGTGAGCTTTAAAATTTCTGTTCAGTGAATGAATTAGTGCGCTGGATCTTGCATGTTGTATAAATTGGCCCCAGCGGAACTCTTATAATGTATGGATGTTCGGATGAGTTCAACTTTCTTGGTTCCAACTATTTTTGGGTGAACCAGCAATTGTTCTTATAAAAGGTAACAGCATGAGATTCTAAAAACATTGGTGTTTTGTCCGTTTTCAAATCAAGAAAAGTAGACTTAACATAGTGACTCTATAAAAGAATGAGAGTATCACATTATGCTAAACTGAGTGTTCTAGAGCAGTGTTCCCCAACCCAGTCCTCATGGACCACCAACAGTCCAGAATTTATGCATTTCCCTGTTTTATTCCAATGGAGATACTGACAAAAACTGGACTGTTGGTGGTCCATGAGGACTTGGTTGGGAAACACCGTGCTAGAGCATTTCAACAGTCTAATAATGCCATTTAATGGCACATTTTTGCCTGCTTGTTTGACAGTAAAATGATAAAAGAAGTCTTAAAAGCTCTGGCAATTCCTTAGATTGCCCCATCTAGAAGCATTGTCAGTAATTGGATGTACATCAGTTAATCTTCTTGTTTATTGGAGAAGCCTTAGTGTTTTGAATAAGTTAGCCTGATGACTACCTAGGTCTTGAATGTTGGTCTTCACAGCTTTAATGTGTTTAGTGGCATTGTGAAGGTCTTCTTTTACCACTGCAGTATCAGGCATGAGCATTTCATCGTCCCACTGTTTGTATGAACTTTTACAATATTAAATAAATAACCAGGTGAGAGATCGTCTTTACCATCAGGGTAGGATTTCTCATTGCACACTTTGTTTTTGTTGAAAGATCAAATAAGAAAGTGTTAAAGGCATTTACGATTGTTGACTGCAACATATATCCTCCTTTTCCTACAGAGCACCGCAATTATGGAATGACCTCCCGCACACTTTCAAATCTTCCCCAAGTCTAAAGTTCTTTAAGAGAACCCTCTCTACATACCTCAAAACAGAATGCACCTGTCATGATTGATTTTATATTTCCTACCTGTTCTATGTTAAATTTTGTATATATTGTGTATTAATATTGGTTTGTATTTATTGTACCCTATCGCATCAATGCAATGTTTTCTCGACCCAGGACATACTTGAAAACAAGAGAAATCTCAATGTATCGTTCCTGGTAAAATATTTGATGAATAAATAAATAAATAATATATAGCATAAAGTATTTTCCCTAGCAAAAAGAGAAATATATGTTAAGTAGAAAAATTATTAGTAACATATATAACAAGAGCTATTGGAAAAGTAACTGGTAATATAACCTTATACACTCTATGTAATAATAACATGCATACACAAATTGTATTCAAGTAAAAGGGAAAAGCTTTTTGGTACAGTGCATACATATCTTTAAAATATTATTTTATATATTTATTTATTTATTCATAAAATATTTTACCAGGAAGGATACATTGAGATTTCTCTTGGTTTCAAGTATGTCCTGCGCACACAAAACATTGCATTGTTACAATAGGATACAATATTACAAAAATACAATATACAAACAATATGTGTGTGTGTATATATATATATATATATATATATATATATATATATATATTAAACAATACACAAGATCCAGTGCACTCTCCTATCTACCAAACAGCAACTTCAATGCCGACAGATTTCACTAGTCTTTCCAAAAATTCCCTCTAAAGGCTTTTTTCAAAAACACCAAAACTAGGCAAAAAATTATGGGGATTTAGTTACATCATACATTGCATAAGCCTGCCACAACGTCAATGTACCCCATCTTTGGCAGGTCCTACTCTCACAGTCTAATGTCTACTCTTATATGAATAACTCACTTACTTGCGGAAAAAATTCCATCTGAGGCTCTCTGCAGTACAAGGCTAAATAGGGACCTGAGATGAGGCACCTGTAACAGGGAGGGGTGCAAAACCAAAGAGTTGGCTAGACTCCCAAATATATATATATATATATATATATATATGCCTTTAGAGGGAATTTTTGGAAAGACTAGTGAAATCTGTCAGCATTGAAGTTGCTGTTTGGTAGATAGGAGAGTGCGCTGGATCTTGTGTATTGTTTATTGTATAATATGGCCCCCAGCAGCACCCCATTCAAGCATGTTCAGGTGAGTGCAACCAACCCCCCATGTTTTATATATATATATATATATATATATATATTTAATACATAACAGGTAGTAAATATATGCAACCATGAAAGGTGCATTCTGTGCTGAGGTATATTGCCATAGATCTCTTAAAAGATTTTAGATTGAATGAAGATTTGACTGTGTCCCTGAGGCTATTCCAAAATTGCAGTGCTCTGTAGGAAAAGGGGGATTGAGACACTTTATTTTTGTATTGTGGTAACCTAAATATCGTGCTAGTACTGGATTGGAGGTTATAGGAGGTGGGAACAGCTGGGGAGATCATTCTACTCAGGTAGGGTGGGAGCTTCCCAGAAATGCTTTTATGCACAAGGCTGGAAAGATGAAAAGTGCATTGGGGTTCCAGCAACAGCCAGTTTAGCTCTTTTAACATGTCACAGTAGTGGGTAAAGTAATTACATTCTAGTACAAAGCAGCAGAACAAATTATATAGAGTATTAAGTTTATTAAGGTGGGTTTGCGGTGCGGATACATACACTACATCCCTATAATCAATGACCAGCATTAGCATCTGTTGCACTATCTGTTTCCTTACAGTAGGGCATAGGCATGATTTGTTTCTGTAAAGGGCACCTAGTTTTGAATAAAGTTTTGAAGAGATTTTTACAGTTGAGTGTTTGCAGATGTTAGGCAGATCATTTATAAATAATGTAAATAGCAGGGAGCTGAGTATGCAGCCTTGGGGAACACCACACATGACTGAAAGAGGGAGGGAAACGCTATCAGAAATGGCCACATATTGCAATTGGTCTGAAACATATGATCAAAACCAGGTTAGTGGATCACCAATGCCTGGGTTTTTTTAAAAATAATTTTGCAAAAGAATGCCATGGTCCACTGTGTCAAAAGCATTGGCAAAATCAAGGGAAATAGCTCCAGTTAAGTCTCCTTGTTCCATGCCAGTTTGGATGTCATTGCAAACTTTTAAGAGGGCATTCGAAGTTGAGTGTATATATATATATATATATTTGAAGTGTTAGTTTTACTGTAAAGTTTAGATACACTGCTTATTTCCATGACAGTTGAGCAGTTTATTAAGATGTGCTATATATATCAGGGAACATGTGGATATGTTACTTGCCAAAACTTTATTTCATATGCATTGGTACTTATTTTACTATTGAAAATATTTCCAATTTAATAACACAATGTGTTATAACACAAAGTTTCTGCATTTACAACTAGCATTGCACTGTTGAACTCAACCTTGTGACTGACCCTACATTCAACACCCCATTAATATTTTAGAAGTGCTTGCTCCTTGAGCTGTCTCATGCTGTGTGATTTATAGTTAGTTATTACAATATGTAGGTCATAACTACAAATGGTAGTTTTTTGATGCTGATAGTTCACCTTGTCCTTTTTCTAAGTGCATTAAAACCCTTGAGTCTATATCATGGGACTCTGCAGATTGTAAAGTCATTATGAGACTTGCTTCAACTGTCTGAGCCAACATCTCTGAATAACGAATTTGAATTTTGCAGAGGAACTTAATGGCAAAAAAAATAAATCCTAAACAGACATTGTTTTCCTTACATGGGGATAAAATAAAATGTAACTAAAATAAACCTATTTGCTCTAAAAAAAAAAAAAAAAACAAACATTTTTATTAAATTCTAAACATGTTAACTTTGTAGCTGGTTGTCTCAATATATTTCAATTGATAATCCTGTACTAGAAGTTATTTCTTTCTGTCTTTAGGGTTTTATGCGTTCCTTCCCTTAACTTCATTTTTATTTTATTTCCCTAGACTTAATTCTGTGTTATATAATGCTGAAGCACCCCAGGCAAAAACCACACAGGGTCCAGCAAACATAAGCAGACAGTATCACCCTCTGGACTTACCTAAAACATTGACTTTCTGTCAACTGCTTGACATTTATATTGATGACATTTGCTTGAAACTCTAATTAAATACACAATGTGTATTATTTTCCAACATGATCAATTGTACAGTCTCCAAAGCAGTCTCTATAGAGAAAGGTTTTTTTTGTTTTTTTTTGTTCAAATCCTTTTAGAAAAAGAATCATTCTCTGTTGTAATTTCTTAAATAGAGTTTATTTTTCCCAAAGGGTGTCAAGTGTCTATTTTTTTTAACATCCCATGATTTCACAAGTTCACATATTAGCTATGCATGTACATTTAAGTGTAACGCCCTTTTCTGATCAGTATGTGGTGTCTATGAAGGAGCCGTTGTTTTCTCAAAAGATGCTTCTACATAGCTGTTTGTAGATCGTAGACAATACCTTGCAGATAGGTAGAATTCTTGGTTAAGTATGGTCAGCTGAGAATTATTGAGCATAATCACATATGTTTGGTTCTTGAAATTAATTCCTGTGGAAGAATTATGAACAGATAACTGTTATACACTCAAGGTTGAGTTTCGAAAATATGTGTATGTGCAATGTTTAGCACACAGAGCCATATTATTCAAGGTTTGATGATGTAAAGATCCTTAGAACAGAGCAGATAGAAAGTAAAAATGAAAGTGAACCTGTCATCCACAAATTCTGTGGATGAAATGATATGCTAAACAAAGAAAATATATGGTTCAGAATTCTACAAGAAACACCATACCTAACCTAGCGAGACATGAAACAGAGCAATACATAAATATCAAAATAAAGATATAAAAAGTGTAGATTATATGACAAAGATAGATTGTAGATTGTTTAGAAAACAACTTTGTATTCCAAGAAATGAAAAAGCCACTGACATTCACATTGGTTGTCTGATATTTGTGCATGAGTGATTTTTTGGGGGCATGAAACTGCGTGAACATGTCTACAAGCTGTTCTGGCTCCTGTGGGACAGTCCTGTTTTGGGTTGTTTCTTAGTCCATCCCAGGTTATAACTCTCTGAGAATACAATGAAAAATCTCCTAAATGTTTTCCACAAGTGTGACATCAGGTGTGCTTAAAGCCAAACAATAACACACTCCATTTCCCAGTGCTTCGGTAGTATTCTGTACAGACAAGGGACTCGTGGCTGTCAAGTCATCTTAGGTTGATCTTAGTCATCTTAGGTTGATGTGCATATAGTTTTAATCTCACTGACACCCCTTCCATGTGTCACAGATATGCCACTTATGACCTATGGGGCATCACCAACCTTATATCTGTTTTAGCAACAGTTTAATAAGCTGAACAGACCAGCTTGGATATGTTCTGATTAAAGGTTACCATTATGGTTACTCTAACCATTTTGCACTCTTTGTTTTTTTT